TCAACCAGGTAACAGCAGTATTGGTTGCAGCTGAAAACATAAGTGCAAAACAGCAACAATACAACATTCCCACTCCCCAGTCCTTCCTTCTGTCCCATTACCCCAGTGTCTACAGATCCAGCCTGTTGACTGGCTTGCGTACCCGGCCGCACCTCGTGTGTAACTGATCCGGTACGTCGGCGTGAGTGGGTGCAAGTGTTGGGGGAAGACTAGGGGCCAAAGGTGAGGTTTCTGGAGTGGACGCACCAGCGCACTGAGATGGCAGCTCCTCAGCGTCCACAGTGGGTGTTGGAAGGGGTTGTGGCATAGCCCGTGGAGATGGTTCGAGGCAGAGATGGCGGCGGTTCCGTCGCAGCACCGCACCTTGGGGTGTGGCAACGAGATAGGACCTCGGAGTGTCGCTCTCCTTGGAGATGATAGCCGGTGTTGCCCAAGCCTTCTCCTGGTCCAGCTTAGTTAGGACAGCATCCCCTGGATGAAGTGGAGGTAGGGGCTTAGTACCATGGCGGCGGTCGAAGTAGAACGCCTGCTTGGCCTTCTGACCGGCATCCCTTCGTTTAACCTCTCTTTTGTTTGGCCATTTAGGTTGAAGATTCTTCTCCAAGGTAGGCAGGGTTGTCCTGATCTTCCTCCCCATAATAAGTTCTGCTGGGCTGTGGCTGGCCCAGTGGCTGCCCACTGCTTCACTGAGTGAATGGGTTAAATGCAGAGAGGGATTTTCCCCACGGGGACCAATAAAGTACACTTTCTTCTTCTTCTTGTAGTGGTACAGGGAGTAGACCTAAAGCACATTAGTGCTATCAGTGGGTCGTTGTGTCGAAGGATTTTCTTTGCAGTCTGTACTGCCCTCTCTGCGTGACCATTTCCCCGTGGGTGGTGGGGACTAGATGTTATGTGGGCAAAATCCATCTCTCTCGCGAAGGCCTGGAACTCAGAGCTGGAGAACTGAGGGCCATTGTCACTCACCACCTTGTCAGGGATCCCAAACCTAGCAAAGGTCGACTTCAGTTTCTGAACAACTTGGCCACTGGTCGTGGATGGTAGGTGCAGTATTTCCAGAAAATGTGAGTAGTAGTCCGACACAACAAGATAATTATTCCGGTTGTGTTCAGAAAGATCCAGGGCTATCCTTTGCCATGGACGATCCGGCAAAGGTGTGGAGATAAGCGGCTCCTTTGTCTGTGTTGGCCTCTGTGCCAGACATGTGTGGCACTGCAGCACTGCATTCTTTAGCTCAGTGGAGAGCCCCGGCCACCACACAGATGAATTAGACCTATCCCTGCACTTGGTGAGGCCTTGGTGCCCTTCATGTAGTTTGTGTAGAATGGCTGTTCTCTGTGACTTTGGAATGACAATTCTGCAGCCTCGTATAACCAGGCCGTCAGCCTCTGATAGCTCGTTTTTCACTTTCATGTACGCTTTAATGTTCAATGGCACACTAGCTCCGTATGCAGGCCAACCCCTGCGAATGTACGTAATGACAGTCTGTAGTTCAACGTCCGTTGCAGTGGCTGCTTTAATGCTTTCCATTCGGCTTGGGGACGCTGGAATGCCCTGTAACACGGTGGCTATGTAGCAGTCCACTTCAGTGTAAGTGCTAGTGTCATCCTCAGCCTGAGTCTGTGGACTCCGTGACAACGTATGGGCGATGACAAGCGTTTTGCCAGGGACATAGACAGCCTCCGGCTTGTACCTCATGAGCCTCATCAGGAGGCGTTGACACCTCAATGGAACATTGTCAAGGTCCCGGCTATTGACCAGGGCACCAAAGGTCTATGGTCGGTCTCAAGCCTGAAGCGATCTAAGCCACATAGATACTTATCAAACTTCTCACAGGCCCAAACACTTGCCAAACACTCCTTTTCAATTTGTGCATAGCGTGTTTCAGCCTCCGTGAGGCGTCTAGAGTAGTAGGCAACAGGTTTCCACTCTGCGCCATGAAGCTGAAGCAGCACAACCCCAAGCCCGTAGCTACTGGCGTCGGCAGATACGGCTATGAGTCTGTTGACGTCATAGAAGGCAAGAACAGGTGCTGATGTAAGCGCTCTCTTAATGTTCTTGAAAGCTGCCTGCTGTGGGTGACCCCAGGTCCAACTGTTTTTGCTTTTAAGCAACTCGTACAGTGGCTGGCATACTGTGGCAAGAGCAGGAATATATCTGCCCAGGTAATTAACCATTCCTAGGATCCGTTTAAGCTCTTGCACATTTTCTGGTGACGGCAGCTGAAGAATGGCGTTCACTTTCTCAGGGTCTGGCCTAGTCGATCAGGTGCCCTAGGAAGCGAAGCTGGCTCTGTCTGAAGGAGCATTTCTCTCGGTTGAGCTTCAATCCGGCTAACTCAATGCGCTGCAGCACCTTCTCAAGTCGGGTGTCGTGTTGTTCCATGGTGGCCCCATAGACCAGGATGTCATCCATAAAGACCTCCACACCTTCGAGCCCCTCTAAGGTCTCCAACATCTTTCGCTGAAAGATCTCTGGTGCACTCGTTATCCCAAAGGGCAGCCTCTTAAAGCAATACCTGCCAAATGGCCTGATGAATGTCGTTAGTTTGCAACTCTCGTGATGCAAAGGGATCTGCCAAAATCCACTGGCTGCATCCAGCGAGGAGAAGACCGTTGCCCCACTCAACCTGGACATGGTTTCCTCAGGGGTAGGCAAGATATAGCGCTCTCTTTTGACAGACTTATTCAGTTTTGTAAGATCGACGCAGATCCTGGCCCCCCCTCAGCTGTAGCCTGCGGGAGAGGTCCTTGTCTCGTATCCCGACCACAATACAATCATGCATATTTTCCTCTTTACATGCACCAAACTCACAGTGCTCTGAGAGGTCATACAGGGCTCGGATAAAACTCTCCA